AGGAAAGGAAAGGAAAGGAAAGGAAAGGAAAGGAAAGGAAAGGAAAGGAAAGGAAAGGAAAGGAAAGGAAAGGAAAGGAAAGGAAAGGAAAGGAAGCTAGTGACAAAATAATCTTATTTTCCTCCATTTTTGTGTGACATACAGCATAAATTAGGCTGCAGAAGAGCCCATATTCTTCATATTAATTATCATACTCCTTGCCTCATTTAGCCCCTTGCCTCAACCACTATGGATACTGGAAAGATACAAAAGTGTAACTTTTAAGCATGCAAATTGAAGCAGTTACTCATTGCCTGAGCTTCGGCCGCAGTGTATTCCCTTCACTCAGTCCCTTCTAAGGTCTTCCCTGCCATTGGGATAATAGCAAGAATAGATTCTGTTACAAGGAGACAAATGCAGCCAAGAGTTACCTGGAAAGCAAAGCATGGCAGCACAGAAACGTGCTGGATTCATGCCGTCATCAATGGACACACATGATGGGAAGCAAAATGGAAGATCTGGAGGGTTTTGTTTGTTTGTTTTATTTTGTTTGTTTGTTTATGGGTTTTGTTTTGCTTTCCCAGGCTTGGCTAATCTGACACTGGTTGTCCACTATTGTTTGCCTTGGTTTGCCCAGAACTGAGGTTTCCTAGTCACTTAGAAACCACACAGGGTCTGAGATCCTGAGCCACGCATGTAGAATCAGTCCCAGTAATCCTTGGAGAATGCTATTCCCTCTTCTTTCATATCAGTTCACACCAGAAAAGGTTAATGTTCAAGGCTGGATGTTTTTGATGCCAGGCCAAGCCCTAGCTCCCTTGCCCTGGCTCCCTTGAATTTAGGCTGCTGCCTCCTCAAAAGGTGCACATACCCCGGTGAACAATTGTATGAGCACGGCCTGTGTTTCAAGCTCCTAGTGAAACCTGAAGCTAGGCATGTTTCATGTTGCTGCATGTTCCCTTTTATTCGTGAGCTTTTCATGCAACTCTATTCACAAGAGTTTCCCATGACTTAATCTGTCTTACATGCAATTGTTAGGGCTAAGGCTTTGTCACAGGATTTTCCCCCTGAATCATAGACCTTCCTCTTGGAGGGATATATAGACTTTCTGAATGCCAGAGACAAAGCACTTTTACAATTTTTCTTTATTTAATAAGCCTGTATAGTTTTGAATTGTCAAAAACAAGGCAATTTGTCTTCCTATTGACCCATCTAAAACTGATATATCAGTCTTTCCTTAAAAGGAAGGAAGGAAGGAAGGAAGGAAGGAAGGAAGGAAGGAAGGAAGGAAGGAAGGAAGGAAGGAAGGAAGGAAGGAAGGAAGGAAGGAAGG